CCCAGACAACCTTTTAGCTCAGTGGTGAAGTCACTTCCGAGGTTCACCATTCAGTCGGGGATTGGACAGCCCCATAAAACCAAACAGGACTAATGAGGCACAGCAGTCCAGGGACAAGGGCCAGAAGGCAGAAGGGGACAGGAAAGCTGCTGATAGGGAACCCAAGGTTGAGTAAGGACAGTGTTGATCTGTAGTGAGGTTGTTAACCATTGTCATAGGGCAACATGTGTACTAACTGTTTAATGAGAAATTATTTTGTTCTGTAAATCATCATCTAAAGTGAGAATAACAGCACAATTGGAAGAATACAGTAGATGTCACTGAACTGTGCACGTAGAAATTTTTGAAATGGTGTGTCTTTGGCTATGTATATTTTCATCAAAAAAAAAAAAAAAGGTCGAGAAGGGAGAGGGTTGACATGTCATGGGGTTGTTAACCAATGTCATAAAACAGTATGTGTACTACTATTTAATGAGAAACTATTTGTTCTTTAAACCTTCACCTGAAGTACAATAAAAAAAGAAAAAAAATGGTTAAAATGGCAAATATTTTGTTATATATATTTTTCCACAGTAAAAAAAAAAGATGATTGATTTGGCCACTTTTACTTCGAATTAATATCTTGTTTTCTTCAAACCCAAATCTTTGGCATAAGTTAACATCTTTATCCCCATTTTGAAAGTTTCTTTCTTCTTTTGGGTCCCCAAAACACTGCTGAGTTTACTGGACTTTTACTTGTGCCAAGTTACCTCCCCTAGTTTGATATAAGAAATTTCCTCACATATAAGTTTTATCACATAAGATACGGCGGGTAAGACACTTGCAGGAAGTGTCATCTTCTTGTAAAAACTCAAATTGCAATTACCTCTGGCAATGGTGGACAGATAATCTCACAGAAAAGATAGAACGGATAACTGAAATCCACAGATAAGCTTCAAATCTCATTTCAGTCAAAAATTTCAAATGCTTTCCCACTGCCAACTGACTTTCCTCCAAGTTGATACAAGCTGCAAAACAGCACTGGCTTGACGTCTATGCTCTGGTTTATTTTTAAAAACTGTAAGCCATTTGTTTGGAATCTTGAAGAAAGCGTAACACACCACCCTTTAACACGCGCCCCTCCCCCCAGCTCCTGGTAACCATTGATCTCCTTTGTGTCTCTACGCATTTACCTATTTTAGATATTTCCTGTAAGTGGGATCATACTGTATTTGCCCTTTAGTGTCTGGCTTATTTCACTCAACATAATGTTGTCATGGTTCATAATTCCTACCAGTAGCCTGCAAAAATCAATTTAATCTAAAGCACCACATCCTCCACTGGAAATATGTATGTCTATCACTTTATGGGAAACCCTGGTGACGTAGTGGTTAAGAGCTATGGTTGCTAACCAAAAAGTCAGCAGTTCAAATCCACCAGGCGCTCCTTGGAAACCCTATGGGCAATTCTACTCTGTCCTATACGGTTGCTATGAGTCGGAATCCACTCAACGGCAATGGGTATCACTTTATAGGTTAAATGAGATTGTGTGTTAGTCTGTCACTTATAACCTCATTTCCATCAGAAAACGTAATCTGTCATTTCCAGAAGGAAGAGATGCAGAGGTTCAGGGATTGCTCCTCCTCCAGCTCAAACTTTCCTACCAAAGAGAACAGAGTGAGAAGGCTGGAGATAAACTAAAGAGAAAAAGAATCGAAAGGGTTAAGGAAGCAGAAGCAGCTGAGAGAACTGAGAAAGCAGAAACTTCACAGAGAATTCTCTAGAAAGTGCAGTGATGGGGGTACCAGGGAAATGGATCCCTGCTCACTGACCCCTCCAGGTCTTAGACACCCCTGCATCTACCCCTGAGACTGTCCCTGGGACTCACAATCACCATTCACTAAACTCTACTGCAGACATAAGCTCAGGAATCAAAGCACAAAGGCCATCACCCCAGGAATGCATATCCCACCCCATTCCTCCCTGCTGAAACTAGCTGCCTCTTCTACACATCCGGGATGGTTCATACTTAGAGGTCATTCTAAGCTTTGGCTCACAAATCTTTGGTGCTACATAAAACTCCATTCTTTCTATTGGCATCCTTGCCTGCTCCCTGGGACCTCCTTATCTTCTCTGACTGCATTGTCCTTGACTATTGGCCCCCCACAATTACGGAGAAGCCTGGGATCACAGTATCTAGCACACCTATGGTCTTAGCTTCTTCTGGACTATTTTACCTGACCACCTCATCTATTCTGACAAAGGCAGGGATCTAAAAAAGTGACTGGAAGGTAAAAAGTACCCAAAACCTACTGAATGAGTGAACAACCGGGTGAACTAATAATTAGCTGTGTATTTCAAGAAGCATATGGAAAATATGAACATTGGGAAGTAATTCATATGTTGACTCGATTAAAGATTTCAGAAGCAATGCGGCCTCACCATCGATGAATCACTTTATCATTCCATTTAGTATCTGTGGGCCTTTCTTGCATCAAACAATGGCATAATAGCTAGCCTTTGACATCATACAATAGCATAGTAGCTAGAAGGGCTGGACATGTCTTCATGGATAATTTTGTCACCCCTGCACCATCAGTAATTTGGTAATATAGGCTCCAGGAAAAGACTTATTTTGTCTCAAGGGTTTTCTGGCTGTTACTATACCATGCGGTATCACCAAATTTCTGCTTTTCTCATCTTAGGCAAGCCTGAGACTAAAGTGGTGAATAAAACAAGAGCTTCTGACTTGGCATCCACAGCAGGGTGATTTTTTCCCGCTGCTCCCTTTTCAAGTTCCATTTTCTTGGACCCATGTATCATCGTTTGGAGTTGGCATCTTACCACTCGTCGTTTCTCTAACATGGTGTTCAGACACAAGGACTAATGAATCTATCCATCAAACCAAGGAGGATCGAGAAGCTGACCACATGGAATCAATTAGGCACTTCCAACTTACAGGCCTCCCGGAGTTTCTCTTTGTCATAGTGGAATCCTTCATAGTCTTGTAAACTGATTTTGTTCACTCGGATCCGGAGGCGGTCTGGGACAGACTGGGGGCTGCAAAAACAAGATGATGTCGTTAGCTACACACCAGAGAGTGGAGTTGGGTGTCACACACCTGCAGGGATTAACGGCAATACAGTCTCTTCATGCTTAGAAGCAAAAAGTTCTCATTTAAGCAGAACTGTGGGTCCTTTCCAGAACATTGCAATTATCTGGAGAACTCTTCTCCAGAAACCTCAAGTTTCTGGAGCTTGGATAAGAGCATGAAAATAAGCAGAAAAACCTCTGAGACCATGCTTATATCGTATCTTCTCTGAACGGATTCACAGTTCTAATAAGATCATGTGTTTGGTTCCACAGCAAATTCGATGCAGCTATCTGAAATAGAAGTGAGGTGGAGCTGTAAGAACTGCTCTAGGCATATGTGCCAACAACAGCCAGGTGTGGCCAACAGCAGCCGCAGAGACACAAAATCTACCATCTAGAAAGGCCAGGACTGGGGTTGAAATAGCCCTACACACCCCAGCGTCTCAGTTAAAGCAGACTAAAATCAATGCTGCCTGCGATGATGCCTCTGAATACCCCAAAATGAAGAAAAAATTTAAATGAAGTACAGTGTTTTCTTTAGGAAGGTAATGAGGCATGCAATGAATTTTAATATGTGGTTCAGGACACATATTCAACATTTAAGGGGGTAGCACCAAGCTTTCTGAAGCCTCCTGTTCTCCCTCAGAGTGTCTTTTTCTAGATTCTTTAGATTTTCTGAAGTAACATTTTCAAAATAGCTCATCGTGAGCATTAGTTGAGTGAAATAATTTAGTGCTCATCACCACCACCATGGGTCAATACATTCACTCAGTATGTTAATATAACACAATCCCCGCTTGTCCTTCCACAGTGTCTATTATACTAAAATTTCACTGGTTCAAATAGAGGATTGCTTCTCTTTTCTTATATTATGGAATAACTATCACCATTGACTAGACACCACTGACTCTTCAATTCATTTCTATGGATGGATTGCAGAGAGACGGGCGGAAGGAAAGGAGGGAGGGAGGAAGGAAGGAAAGAAAGAAGGGATGGAGGGAGGGAGGGATAGAGGGAGAAAGGAAGGGAGGGAGGGAGGCAGAGAAAGAGGATGGGAGGAAAGTAGGAAGGGAAGAAAGGGAAGCAGGGAGGGAGGAGATACTTTAAAATATTGTCAGGGCACCTCTATCTCCACATCAAACATACACACATATGTATACACACTCATTTAATTTCATTGCAACTCTGGAAAAGAGGAGAAAAAATAATTTAATCTCATTCTCTTGTCTAAAACCTCATTTACAGCAAAATATAGTAACTCCCTCCATATAGACTCCCACTCTACTCACTCAAAAGTAACACATCTATACCCAACTACGGAGATATAAATGCACCCCTACACAGTACTCCCCCCTACACACATACAAATTTAAGCTGTGACTATTTCCAAGTCTAGACAGAAATGCACAAATTCTAAAGAGAGATGGTAGACAGGCAAGCACATCTGAAGCTCACTAGATTAAAGCTAAGCCAGTACAAAACCACAGAGATGGGCATTTCTGGGGGAAACTTGAGAACAGAGATGCAATGGCTCTTCATCCATTCATTCAGGGCATATCTGTCGGGTGTCTACTCTGTGTCGGCATTGTGCTGGACATTGAACAGGCATGACGAATAAAACTGACATGAGTGTTTAAGCAGTTAAAGTAATAAGAGACGGTTCAATAGCATCACAATATACGTAAATTAGTGGAACAGACCTTAAATATCATGTATCCCCAAACCATAATTTACAGATAAGGAAACTGAAGTTCAGAGTGGTGATTGGGGTGGATTAACCTATCAGCAAGGTAGGCATGAGCTTACAGTAAGCAAGGTACACATGGGCTTAACTGTGTTTCCTTACTAATCTGTAGTGCTCAATTTCACATGAGTGATGTGGTGGAAAACAGGTGAAATTGTGCGCTACAGATTAGTAAGTAAACACAAGTAAGCCCATGCGTACCTTGCTTTTTGGGTAATCTGTCTCTAAGTGAGGAGCCCTGGTGGCACAGTGGTTAAGAGCTCAGCTGCCAGCCCAAAGGTTGGTAGTTTGAATCCACCAGCCGCTCCTTGGAAACCCTATGGGGCAGCTCCACCCTGTCCTAGAGGAATCAACTCGACGGCAATGGCTTTTCTGGTTTGGTCCCCATGTGAATATATTTAAAGTCACGTAGCTACTAAGTGGCGGAGCTGGGCAAAGACCCCTGGGCACTTCATCATCCAATTCACACTCTTTCTTTATGCAATGCCCTCTGAGGAGTTCACACTCTCGGATCAAAGGATAAATACCAGGAACCCCTTGGGTTTGACGGCAAAACCGTCAAGCCTGGATTAATGAGTCAGATGGTCTCCAGATGCTCAGACTCTTTATCAATAAACAATCACCAAGGTGTGGGTAAGGAGATCGTGGGACATTCAACAAGAGAACACTGGGCAGATATTGCATATGAGTGTGTAGATCTATAATCATTTAGAGGGAAGTCTAGTGACCACAACATAGTACTAAGTGAAAACAAGTCCCAGAAAATTAGAGATAGCATAATCTCCCTCATCTAAATTGTGTATTTTGGGAGTCTGCATGCACAAAGAAGTTTTGGAGAAACGTTTAACAAGCTGTATAGCGTGGTTATCTCTACCTGGTGGGACTTGGGGGTTATTTTACATTGAGTATCACCATTTTCAGAAAAATAAATTAGTTCAAAAGTATGTCAATATAGAAATAAGTCATAACTCAGGACAAGAGTGAAACTATTGTGAAGAGTATTAAGTATTAGACAGGAGTACAGGCAGTCCCTGGGTTATGAACAAGATCCGTTCCTAACTGTGTCTTCAAGTCTTTAAGTCGAATTTGTAGGTAAATCGAAACAGGTGCTTACAGGTCTTATTTAGCCTTACTTTAGTGCAAAAGGATCGAAGCCTTTTCAATGATTTAAATGCTGCACACGAAGCAAGTGAATGTCATTTTGATGAAGAATTTGTTGCCAGTAGGGGTTGGTTCAATCGCCTCAAAGTGAGGGCAAATTTACATAACATTAAAGGGCAAGTATGAGCTGTCCGTAACCTGGGGACTGTCTGTAGATAGGAAAGAGTTTCAGCAATTAACAGAGTGACCACAGAATGTTAGTACCAAATGCCTTCCCCAAAATTAAGGGGGTCTGATCATTTTATTCCCAATTTCACCCGAGTGACCTGGAAAGATTGTAATTATCAAGAATTTTCCTACAAGCACAGCAGATAAGAGGCTTGAAGTGTAGAATGAGGTGCTCCATGTACTCTGTCATGGGGGTAGGGGAGGACAGAGGTGAAAGGAGTCCTACCCACATATTTTTCAAGAAACAGCAGCTCTAAAGGTGGTGGGCTCTGGTCTCCTCCAAGTGTGCTAGAGTTATCAGAACTAAGGCTACAACAGCAGCTAACCAGTTGCCATGGAACCAACCCCAACTCATGGTGACCCCATGTGTGTCAGAGTAGAATAGTGCTCCACAGGATTTTCAGAACTAGATCACCAGGCCCTTCTTCCGAGGTGCCGCTGAGTGGACTTGGACCTCCAACCTTTTGTTTAGCAGCCAAGCGCGTTGACTCTTTGCAGCACCCAGGGACTCCATACACAGCAGCTGCCCAGTGGGAAACGGGAGTCAGAACACGACGGCACACCGGTCTCTGTGCCCCTCCGCCATGGAGCTCCACTGAGTGAGCTCACTGACGAGCACCACCTTCCACAAGGTTTGTTAGTGTCTGCCCTAGTCCACACGCTTCCAACCCCGTTTCCCACCTATGCCCTCTGACCCCAACCCACACCCTGTTACTCCTAAATCAGGGTTTACCACTAATTTCCTGACTCACAGGTAGCACACCATGGACACGCAACAGAAACTATCATTTGAATAGAACTTTCCAGATCACAAATTGATTCACATACTGTCTCTTGGCACCTCCTGAATGACAAGCTAAGCAAAATGGAAGAGAGTGGAGACTCGCTCACCACTCCTTCCTTCTTCCATTCACCTCCTCCTGCAGTTCTCTCTCAAGCTCTCAGCTCCTATCTTCTCTGACAACCCATGGAGCACCCCACTTTCCCACCAGCAGAGGTGTGCTTACATACAGACTTCTGCTCTCAGATGTTGCCCCCGATGAGGCCCATCAGCAAATCAAAGGCTTTAGAGCACTGGGTCCATGGTGGGCCCTCTGAACTATTCTCAACCTTGGTGTAGACAGGAAGGAGTCCAAATGGTGCAGCGGTTAAGTGCTCAGCTGCCAACCAAAAGGTGGGCGGTTCAAACTCACCAGCTGCTCTGTGAGAGAAAGATGTGGCAGTCTGTTTCCATAAAGATGACAGCCTTGGAAACCCTATGGGGGAGTTCTACTCTGTCCTATCGGATCACTATAAGCAGAATCCACTTGACAATAATGGGTTTGGTTTTTGGTGTGGGTGTAGACAGTAGGTATGGGAGGCAGCACATGAGGTGATTAGGAGCCCCGGCTCCCAGTCAGATGGTCTGGATTTGAAGTAAGGTTCTGCGAATTACAGCCGATCAGGAAACTGTTGATTCCGAGTCATGGCGTCCTCATGTGTGTCAGAGTAGAACTGTGCTCCATAAGGTTTCGATGGCTGATTTTTCAGAAGTAGATCACCAGGCCTTTCTTCCGAGGTGCCTGGGTGGCCTCAAACCGCCAACCTTTTGGTTAGTGGCTGAGTACATTGACTGTTTGCACCACCCAGGGACAAGTGTTCAATAGATTTTAGCTAATATCACTATAATTATTCTGAAAACGGTTCTTCCTAGCAAACAATACCATCTGCTGCTGCCAGATGTTGTACAAGGTTCATGGCGTCTACAAGAACCTCCCTGGGCATCCCTGACAAGCTGCTGGGCTTCCTCTGGTGGAAAGCCGTCTGGCTTGGCTGGTGTCTGAACATTCTACGCACCGGTATCTTCTCCCTGGTATTTTACAGGCCAACTAGTAACACGAAAACGGACATCCAG